TACAAAAGATTGCTCCTCCATGTGTTTATCCTGATTGTAGTGCCCCATGCTCCTTAAAAAGATGGCTGCAATCAGCATGTCATGATTAAAGAACACCCCTGCCTACAGAAAGTCTCAAAAAAGCAAAAAAGTGGTTGCCCAGAAGTTGCATGCAATGAAGAAACCAGTAAACTCATAGCTAACTTTCCAGGTATTAAAGGTAAACAAGTTTTAGCTTTTAAAAAACACCATTTAGCGGCATTTTGTTTTGGGGAGGTTTTTTTTTTAATACAAAGATTTCTGGTCCAGCTCGTTTTCAGCTCAGTCTCAAAGAGACAAAAGGGGAAAAAAAGCCTCTATTTTCCCCAGTATAGACATCAACCTTTCAACAGCCACACTGCACAGGTGCTTACACACATTCTTAAAGCTGAGTGCGTTCTGGGGCTGAGCTGGGAGACCACCAAACCTTAATGACTTACATTCTCAAAGCTGAGTGCGTTCTGTGGCTGAGCTGGGAGACCACCAAACCTTAATGAACAGCACTCATGTAGCTTTTTGTACCTTGAGCGCAGCTCCACATTTAAATGTGTTTTTTTTAAAATCTTTTTAGGATGGGTACTTTTGGAGCAGTTACAGAGTGAGCCCGTAGCTACGTACACCTTTGGAAAGCGATGAGGCAGGTGTTCTCCTCTGTAGGCACCGTGCTGGGCTGCAGCATGTCCTAGAGAAGAGAGATGATCTGATGATTTTGCCCATCTAGCAATGGTGTGCTGAATGTGTAAAATGCCCTGCAGCACAGGTGAAACACTGTCAGAAAGTGAACAGCACTCATGGAGCTTTTTGTACCTTGAGCGCAGCTCCACATTTAAATGTGTTTTTTTTAAAATCTTTTTAGGATGGGTACTTTTGGAGCAGTTACAGAGTGAGCCCGTAGCTACGTACACCTTTGGAAAGCGATGAGGCAGGTGTTCTCCTCTGTAGGCACCGTGCTGGGCTGCAGCATGTCCTAGAGAAGAGAGATGATCTGATGATTTTGCCCATCTAGCAATGGTGTGCTGAATGTGTAAAATGCCCTGCAGCACAGGTGAAACACTGTCAGAAAGGCCACGGCACTGTTGCTGGGTAAATCAATGTAATGGCACCGACTACAACAGCTGAGTTCTGGCTTCATTTTTTTAGGGATTCCTATCTATAGCCCCTACCCCCTTCTGTCCCGTGGGGCCGGGCAAGCGTCATCAGAAGGGTGGCTTGGCCCTGGGGTGCCACAGGGAGCCTTTCTCAGGGGGGATGTGGCAGGGCTCCTCACCAGAGGGTCCTGGGGGAAGTTTCTGCGAGTTGCCAGAGGAAACGGAAGAAAGGGCAGCATTTTTCAGGATGAGGTATTGGAGAAGGAGATTGCTGGCTGGGGGACGGCTGCCCGTTCTAGTGTAAATCCAGTGTTGCTTCACCCAGCTCACGGCTTCAGGCCCTTACAATTACTGCTGGGGTCAGGATCTGCCCCTGAGCATTTGCAAATTAAGCTGTTGCACAAAAGCACAAAAAGGTGAGTGCTGGAAGACGTGTTTGGTCCAGCAAGAGCTGGTCAGTGCGTGCGGTGTGGAGAGCGGAGCATTCAAAGCAAGTGTAAAATCCCCCCGCTGTGATGTGGCAGAGTTAAAGGCCTTAGCAGCACTGGGTGTTTCATCGGGTGAAGCAGGGATGCTCGGGGTTGCTGCAGTTTCCGTTGGCTGAGGAGGTTCCCCTCAGATTTTCAGGGGGGCTGTTACTCATTTGTGTTGATACAAATGAGAGAAAAATCCAGATCTTGTCATCGCAGGGGTCAGCAGATTCTGACCTTTTTTGTTTTCTCTTTTGATGTGCTCCGAAAGATTTTGCAGTGAACTGGGGAGTGACTGAAAACATGTGCCACGGGGCAGACTCCCCCGGGGTGGACAGCTTAAGTTATGCCCTTTCTGGACAGGTTTCTCTCATTCAATCTCTGCTTCAGCCTAAGTCTTGGGGAAAGGAGGGAAGCACAGGGGAGAACGTCACCACCTTAAGAAAAAATTATCCACTGAGTGCTTTCCCAGCAGGGATGCACGGCCCTCTGAACGCCTGCGTGTCTCAGGGGCTGCCAAAATCTGTACCAATTTCCAGAAAGGCAGTATCCGGGCCTTGCCCCTCTCCTCCTCCCCAGCTACACATTTACATCCTCTTTATTACAGCAATCTTGGTTTACATCAGCAGGAACCGGAGTCACACACGCCTCACTTCAAAGCTCCCTGCCTGCCTGTGAGGGAGCTGCTGATAGCAGAAGATACTGGCGTCTGCAGATCACAAGTCGAGTGAAAGTCTGGTGAGCTGCCCCGGCAGACACCGCTCCGCCTTGAGTCACTGCTCCTTTCCACCTGTTCTCAGCAGGAGGGATGAGAAGGGATAACTCATGTTCAAACACCCGGGTCAGCTGCGCCCGCCCTTGCCAAATAAACAGTTGATGTCAGGGAAGAAAATTAATGGGCGGGTATTTCAGATATTTCGTTTCCCTTCACGCACTTCTCGGGGGTTTTATCAAAAGTAAAGAGAGTGAATAAGGAGATCGCAGTTGGCACTCGGGCCCTTTGGGAAGACAGGATGCCCGAGCGCGCTCCGCCAAGGCCAGGCAGCTGCCAGCATCCCTGTCCCTGCGCCCCCGCCCCGGATTGTCACGGCACCTGGGGACAGGATGGGCTGTGCTGGGTGAGAACGGGGTGGCTTTTCACCCTGGTACCCGGGGTCACAGCAGGAGGAAGTATAATTCCAATACTTTACCAGTCTGGGGGCCCCCAGCACAAACCAGAGCTGACAACATCCAGTTTCACATCCGTCCCTTTTAGGCACTTCAAGGTGACAGGCCACGGTGAGTGAGGGGGACAGCAGGGCCCAGGAGCTGCCAAGCAAAAGGAGAAGAGCGTATTAATGTCAAGTCAGCCAAATTTTCCGGGATCCACCACAGAGTGGGAGATGCTGTACCACTGACTCAGAGCGTCAGGTCCTTGCCAGGGTGGCCCTGTGGCCCCAGGGCTGCAGGTAGCCAGGTGATGCTCTGCTCCACAGCAGGAAACACCACCATGGTCTTCATCCCTGGGACATTTTCTGGAGAAGAGCCTGGGAGAAGAGAGGCAGAGCAACGGAGAGAAACCTCCCCTCCGTCGTGGCCACAGAGATGTGGCCGGAGACCAGAAGGGGAAAAAAGTTGGCCCCAACGCCACCTATGCTGGGTGTGGAAGGTTTTCAGGGCTAGCAAAAGGATGGTCAAGGCACGGGAAGGACCAGCCTGGCTCCCAAAGCATTCATTTGCCCCAGCAAGACCAGGCCAGCGTACCACCGACCCACCTCCTCCCACTGTACCACCAGCCCGTGGAAATCAAGGTCTGGCGCAGGGCAGATGCCAAGGAGAGACCCTGGCTGTGCCCATGCGTGCAGCTCCGTGCCCATGCTCCCTCTACGGGGCACCCTACTGGGCTCTCCAGCCTTTGGGGAAGCTCCGTAACCTCTGGAACCGGGGTGATGGACCAGCCAGAGTGGGCAAGGGCACTTTGGGCAACCACCCCAGGCTGGGTGTCCTGCCAGAAAACCCCAGGTGCTGCTGGGAGCGGTGGCTCAGTAGGTGGCACTCTGCATCCATGGGGAACCAGCACCTTCCCAAAAGTGAGCCCTGCCCTCGCCGGCCCGGCAACCCGCCCCACCGGCCCAGCTGCAGCGGGGAAGCCCACAGGGGGTGAGCCTTGCAGCCCCCTCCTTGAGGCTTCTCCCCCTTTCACTGCTCCTGGGGACATCCTCCAGGAGCTTGGCCCAAGCATCCTTCCAGCCCTGGAAGAAGGCCATGGCCAAGCTTAGTGCCTCCTCCCCGACAGCCCACGGCAGAGCTGGGACTTGCAGCACGATCCCACCTCAAATGTCCTGACACTTGTGACCTCTGGAGGGTGTCCTCTCAGAGAAGCAGCCAAGCAGGGTTTTGCCAGGACACCACCAATTTGGGAAGAGCTCCCCTGATGTCCCACCTGAACCCCTCCGTGGCCATCACCACCTTGATGCATTTTCTGCAGGCCAAGGAGTGGTGCTGGTTGATGCTGGAATGCTCCTCCTTCTTCAGAAGCAGCAGGAGGAAGTCTGCAAATTGCCTGACAAAATTCGAAGCGTGCCGAACCAAATTCCTGGCTGCTGCCAGTCAGTGGGGCAGAGCCATGGGCTGGAGGTTGGAGGCGAGAGGGAACGTCATGAGTCAGGTGCTGGATGTGCCGTGTTTGGTCTCTAAACAGCGCAGGTAACACGGGCAATTGCTCTTGGGTCACTCAGCCTTTCCCCGCTGAGCTGCTCCTCAGAAGTTTGCCAAGTGTAGTGTGCAGGGGTGAAAATTTAACTGCTCGGTATATTCCTCCGACCGAACTTTAAAAAAAAAAAATTATTGAAAATATTTCCAGTGGATCTCTGGTAAAAAATTGGGAGGAATATTTCATTTTAACAGCTGCAAAAAAAGGAAATTCAGGAGGGAAGCTGCGGTGCCTCACTGAGAGAGCAGGCCTTGAGCACGGCCAGTTGTTGAGGGAAGGAAAACTCCCCATTTACAAAACTCCATTCTCACACAACCAACCCCACATTTCAACAGAAGAGGCCCCAAACCCCAATATCTCTGCTTTTGGAGAAACTCTGCTCACACACACTCAGTCTCTCCCAACGCCCTGTCCTTATTGGGGTCTTGTGGGGAGGGCCAGGGAAAAGGGGGGCCCTGTGGAGCTCCTGGCTGTCCCCAAACGATGGCCGAGCCGCAGCCCAGGAGCTGTCGATGGACCCAGCGCTCTCTGTCCAGGGCTGCAGTGCCCAGGCAGGATTTGCCTTTTCTCTGCTCGCAGCCCAGGAGCTGTCAATGGACCCAGCGCTCTCTGTCCAGGGCTGCAGTGCCCAAGCAGGATTTGCCTTTTCTCTGCTGTAGACACTATGGGAGAAGGCACGGGGAACAAGGCGAAACACAGCCATAAAAATAATCCAACAGTAAAGCCATCAGCTAATGACAATGGGTTTTAATTGCACTGTGAACAAAGGGGCTGACGGAGGTTTGCCGGGCCCGTCTGTCACCCATTAACGTCTGAGCAACCGATTCAGCAACTTGTTTTTCAGAGCTCTTGGGCATCGCTCCTTGGGTTTGGCATCACCTTGTCGAAGACGGCACCCGCAGCTGCGTGTCCTCCTCCAGCCTGCGTGGCGGGGGGAGAAGGCTGTAATGACTGAGCGACTTGGACCCCTGCCACCCCGAGCCACGGCTCCCTCAGCTCCCAGAGCTGTGAGCAGCGTCCCGGCCCCTCTGTTAGAAAAAGGCGGCCCAGGGGCTCCTCTCCCGCTGCTGGGCAGCTTGGCTACTGGTCTGTGTGGGGAGCTGTGCGGCCCTGGCTGCCCCCCGGCCCCGACGGCGCTCAGGGTCTCTGTGGGGACCGCAGCAGCGCTCCTCCGGCTCCCCTCCCCGCCCCAGCACCTTCCAGCCCGCTGCCCGGGTTTTTCTCCCCCAAAAGTACCTCAGGATTTCTTACGCAAGAGCCGAGAGAGGAGAGGCGGCCGCGGCCAGGACACGGTGATCCCGGAGACCTGCCGCCCGCTTCCCCCCCCGCCTCCTCGCCGTTACTCAGCCGTTACTCATGCGGCGCCCGGGCAGGGGCAGAGGGGCCGAGGCGAAGGGCGATCACCACCTTTATTGCCGCAGGACATTTGTGCCGTCCCTCCGGCGGAGCAAAGAGCGGAGCAGCCCAGACAGGTGTGCCCGCGCAATAAACCCCCGTCTGCGTGTGTGTGTGCGCCGTCCCCGCCGTCCCCATGGCAACGCGTGCCGCCTCACCCCCCCGCCGGGATCCCTGCGCCGCGGCAGGTGCGCCTGCGCCGCCC